CAAATTAGTAGCAACACATTCTAAGTAGAAAATAGAAGTGGCACTTAATAATACTAAGGGAGGAGACAGAAAAACTATAAAATAAACAGACACAAGAAATATATATTTTTAAGAAGCACTTTCAGAGAAGAAATTTCAGGACACAGGCAAAATCCCTGCAGTTGTATTTTACTGTGTAGTATAATCACACTATCAAAATGATGCCCTTGAATCACAAATTCCTCCATAATTGATAAGCATTGTTGAAGAATGCAGATCAGTAAATAACATATCTTAGAGGAGTTTTCATCTAATTTGATAAAACAGTATAGTGGTTAAAGGAGTGAGTTTAAGTAATATGGAAATTGCATTTAGAGAGCAGATATTTTTGTCAACTGGACAAAGAAAGCTCTATGTTACTGTGCTTCCCTCCCCACAAAGGAAAGCCAAATATATTAAAAAAATTAGTTTTGAAGTTTCTGATACCTCTGGAAGGAGAGGAAGTAGTATCATTAAATACTATATAATTTTTTAGAGGAAAATAAAAGTGAAATTACTGAAGTTCACTTCATGACTCAGTGCAGAGCCCAGTTCAGAATCAAGGGCTTTCAACTTCCAACCTTGAACTTTATCCAAACAATTAACTGGCAAAATCAGATGGTCCACTTTAAACATATGAAGGATTGATGTTAAGAGAAGATTTTAGATAGAGGGATAGGACTCCTACTTCTTTGTTTCCATGTTACCCCCTAATCCCGCCCCAAATTGCTAGAACAATCTTCATGGGGTTTCTCATTCCTGGAGCCGAAACGTGATGAGTCACATGAGCACACTCTGGGAACAGCAGTAAGCTCTGATAGTATCCCAAGGTTGAAAGAGCTATCAAACCACTTCCTAGACCCTCCGTATTCCCACAGCTAATATAACACACCCCACCCTGGAGTCAGAAAGAGCCATGGCTGAGTCCTGGCAAGGCGCTTTCCAAACATCTTTAAAATGAAAGATGGGACTAGACCATCTCTAAAGCCCATCTCTGTGCTAAGATCCTATGAGTTAAAATCGTGTTTATTATTGTTAAGTCACGACTGCTACTATTTAACAGCCCTCTAATTACCTAGTTTCTCATGCTTTTAAAAAATTCTTTATTCTGGATTTTACTGTCAAAGCATATGAAGAATTTCTGTAATTCTATGTACCAAATTTACTTAAAGAAAAAAGATTTTAATACCAGATTTTTAAAAGAGCTATTTTTTTTTTTAGTATTTTAAAATATAGGACAGACTATGTTAAAAATGTGCAATAAATCTCTTCGTAATGATTTTAAGACCAAAGTTTCCTGTAATTAGTTACAAAAATATGGTGAAGAAGTGAACCAAAATAAAACCAAGTAAACCAGCTACTAAACTACACATATGTCCTTAAAATCTTATGGGAGTCAAATATTCCAGTAAAAATAACAGAAGAGATGGGAACACAAGTTTCTTATTATCACACTTCATATGTTATAAAACATAGCAGTTAACTTATTTTTGGCAAAATGATTAGGGATTGCAACACTCTGGCTTACACAAACTTATTTGATTGTCAAATGCATCTTAAATGGAGCATGTCATGCTAACTTCAGGCATGCAGGCACTGTGCCGTCTTAGAGTAGCCTAGAGACACTGAAATTTCAACACTTCAGCAGGGATCATACCACCAAAAGTAACTGGGCCAGGTGTCTAAAGAGGGGTGGGCGGGAGGACTTCAACAATGTAGTTAATTGAAACCAGATAAAGCTTTTGAATAACAAAACAAAACAAAAAAAATCATACAGATGGTCACCCTCCACCCCGGGTGACCTTTATGGACAATTTATTGCACGAGTTATTTTCTAAAATGCACCCTTCTTAAGAAAACACAGTTTCACATGCCTCTCTGAAAACTCTATAATCACAGCGTGAGTTATGTGTCCACAAACAGACTTTATGGTTAAGCTCATGTTTTCCTTTTCCCTACTTTTCCTACAAGGGCAAGAGCACCTGAAGGTGGAACAAGAGTCAGAAAGTCCTAATGCTGAAGAAGTCCTAGGAAGCTACCCTGACCTTAAGGTCAAACAGGGAGGTGGGCTCAGAACCAATGTGTAGAACAACTCTTCTCACGGATGCATGAGAGAAATGATGCACTACATGCAGAACGGGGGTGGAGCAAACACCCCAAGAACAGATCTGTGGTTAAGTTAATAAATGGAAGGGCACAGAAGTGAGTATTTCTTCCCAGTGTTTATATAATAGTGTGCTACTCATCAAGATTCTCCAGAGAAGTGGAAGCAATAGGAGAAACGTGGAGATGTATTACATATACAGAGATTTAGTGGAGGAACTGGCTCATGCAATTAGCCAATCTGCCATCTGCAAGCTGAGAAGCACGAAAGCCAGGGGTGTAATCAGGCTTCAGAACTAGGGGTGCCGCCACTGGTGTGAGCCCAGGAGTCTGAAGGCTTGAGAACCCACAGACCCAATGACCTAAGGTGGATGTCCCAAGAAGTGAGAGAGAAAGAAGTCACCCTTCCTCAGAGTTTTTGTTCTCTTTCGGCCCTCAAAGGATTGCGTGATGCTAGACCACCGAATGAGGATCGGTCTTCCGTTCTCAGTCTACTGCTGCAAACAATAACCGCTCCTGGAAATGTCCTCTCAAACTCAGAAGTATGTTTTACCAGCTGCCTGGGTGTCCTTACCCCAGTGAGTTAACACATAAAATTAGCCATCACACACAGTAATGCTATTACTATTCCAAATATGCAAGTACTCTTTTAAACATGTCTTTAAAGCTTTAAAAACAACCAGAACAACTCATAACGAAAATTATATTTCATATCAATGTGCTACATTTTATTTGACAGGACTAAGTCACTTCCTAGACTGGGAAGTAAATTATGTGGGTGTTCCTACATGCTTGGTTGTACGCCACACTAGTGAAGCCCTAACTGCAGGAGTGGTGGGACACGGCCCCTAGGGATCCTTTCCTTCTAACGTTCATGCTCTAGTGTGATCCGCTCCTCTTCGGGGAGGGCTGGACCCCGTGGCTTGCTTCTTTCTAACCAGCGGAAGACCACAAAAGTAATGGGACCATCACTCCTCCTCTGGCTCTCCTCCCACCCTGGCTCTTTCCACGCGATAAGAAACCGACGGTGCCATCCAGCCAGCTCTCAGGGATGAACCAAGACCCTCAGTGTAACAACCTTCGAGGGACAGAGTCCAGCCAACAGCCAGGCAAATGAGCTTATAAGCAGCTCCTTCTCAACTCGATTTTTCAGATAAGACCTTCTGATTAAAGTCTTATGAAAGGCCCTCCAGCAGAGGACCCAGCTAAATCATGGGTCCTAGACGCACAGAAACTGAGAAAATAAACATGCACTGTTTTACGTGGTTAAGTTTTGGAGCAGATGGTACACAGCAGTAGATGACTAACACAGCAAGTGAACCTAATGACGGAGGTAATAATCCACGGTCATTTCCATAACCGTCACTACTACCTACAGCAAACTTTTAACTTCTAGGCACCCTTTCTAATTCGTTATGTCATGCCTCAAAAAATCCTTTAAAGAACATATTGCCCCATTTTACAGATGAAGAACAGAGTTACAGAGAGACTCAATAAACTGTCCAAAGTCACACTGACAAGAGATGACAAAGCAAGCACTTGTGGATGTATGTGAACTTCGGTGTGGTGCCAGGGCTCACAGCAATTGTGTAAACAGAACCGCTCAGTGGCAGGGCTTGTAAAGATGGTAACCTCCTGACAGAGAGAAGAGTCAGGAGGCACAGGAGAGAACAGAAGCCATGCAAAAGGAAGGAACCACTTCCTACCTGGCCTCCTGATGACCAGGCTCAACGGCACTCATGCTCCCACACACCCTGCAGTTACTTAGCGGTTATCACCCCCATGGCTTAGTCTGTCTCCTCCTTCAGACTTTAGACTCTTACCTCAAACACTGCCTCATTCATCGGGAAGTTCTCAAACCACAGCACGAGGCTTGATATATGGCAAGTATTTAATACTAGAGGCCTGCTGCACGAAATTCATGCGAGAGTAGGCCTTCCTTCCCCCGGATTCCATAAATATTCAGGCACCAGCTCCCCTCTGGCACCTGCGACCCAGGTGTCCCTCCAGCACTTGGGACTCGAGTTTCTATCAGGACATCAGCAGGCATTGCGACCCAGGCTTCCCTCTGGCCCCCGGCAGGTACCCGGGACCCGGGCTTCCCTCGCTGCCCCTGCTTTGTCTGGAAGGATGTCCAGTCTAATTAGCATAATATGCTTTTATCATTATAGAAGATATTTGTTGAATGAAGAAATAAATTTATGTTGTGAATTGCATCCATTCAATGGGTTATTTCAATGGTATGTGTTAGTGACAGTATGAAGCTTTGTTTTGAAGTCTCTTGTAGTTCACTCTCTCCTGAGCACTTTCAATAGGTCATTGTGTCTCCAGTGTCTCTGGCACATAGTGGCACCTAATAAGTATTTCTGAATGAATGAATCAATCAATGAGTGTCTCAAAAAACCTGACAAGCTGTAGAACTGATAAGAATTCATACTTAGGCCTAAATAAATAAAGACAGCTGTTTTCCTATCAATGATGATGATACATTTTCTTCCTTTTATAAAGAGGCATGAAAATTTGCAAAATACTCTCCCAAATAAAGATAGATTCATGTCTAAGTCTTACCTAGTGACCGCTCTTAAGTATTCTTTCATAAAAGACAACAAGTTACATGCAACTCAAGAACTCCAGATAACCCTAGATTAAAAGGCATTCGGTTGGAAAATTCCTACCTCCTTCAGCATTATTTTTTCAAACATGGAAATCGCATGAACATACACACTTCCACAGGCCCACAGTAATATGGGAAAAAGGATAAAGGCAGCTGCCAAGTATCCTCTACCTGTTCCATTTGTCAATTAAACAAAAGACACAGGACAAAGGGAGGTTGAGGGCGTCTGTGCATTTGCACAACCGGGCGCCGACAGCACACTTACCGGGAGCTCAGGCGCATGCTTCAGAATCTGAAGGGCCATATAGCTGCCTATGGAATGGCCGATGACCACCAGCTTGGTTTCCTTTGGCACATGAGTTCTCAGGAAAGCTAGCTTATGTTCTACTTGACCACGGAGTCCATAGATGTCCTTAATTTCTTGAGCATTTGGATCTAAAACCAAAAATATAAGCATGTTTTTTATTCAATAAGTAGTAAATTCACTGGGAAAATATTTTTTAAATAAAAGTAATAGTAACAGTAATTACCAATTACGTAAAGCCTACAGTGTGCTAGCTAGCATGTTAGACACTACTTAGGTTACCTCAACAACAACCTTGGATAGGAAGTATTAGTTTGTTCATTTTACAGAAGCTCATAAACATTAGGTGATAGAATGACAGACACATACTTACTGAGTAAGAGGGGGAGACTCAAACCCAGGTCTCCTCACAGCCCACGAATTTTTAAATATTCCAAGACTATTCAAATATTCTATGGCTATTCCATAAATATTCAAATATCCCTATACTATTATTAGTTTAGCCCATGGATCTCAGAACCCTCTGCAGCATTTGTTATTACGTTGACTGCTAGGCCCCACCACAGAGTCCCTGGTCCAACAAGTCTGGATTGGAGCCTGGGAATCTGCATGTATGAGTTTCCAGGAGATGTTGAAGTTGCTGGTCCTAGGGCCACATTCTGAGAACCACTGGTTAGGCTAATTTATAATCTCAATAAACAACGAAGAAACCCCATGACACGCTTCATTTTTTGTTGTTGTTGTTAATAATCTGTTTGCCTGAAGAACTCAGAATGTGGAAATGCTGTAAGCTGTTTCTTTTAACCAGCACAGTCTCTTCCTCTCACAAATGAACCGTCCTCTAGATTCTTCAAGACTAATTAAAACTTTATCTAGCTAATCTTCAAGAAAAAGAAATGAGCATTCCTTTGCGTTTGACCAGTACTCCACTCTGACTATAGCTCTTTCCACAACTGGTCGGGTGCCCGTTCATTTCCTCTCTTCAGCTGTGAGCTCCTTGAAGGCAAGGTCCATCTCTTCATCTCTGCATCCTCTGTGACTGGCACAGGGTATTATGTATTTAATTAACAAAAATATGTAATCAGGGCAGTGTTAACTATCTGAAGAGTAGTGTATAACAGAATCTAAGACTGTTATACAATTGTTTCTACTTCTCTACAGTTTAAAAGACTTTCTCGAAATAAAAGTTTTTTAAAAAAAATATATTTTTATTGATTTTGTACAGAAAGGAAGAGAGAGAGATAGTTAGAAACATCAATGAGAGAGAGTCATTGATCAGCTGCCTCTTGCACACCCCCTACTGGGGATATGCCTGCAACCAAGGTACATGCCCTTAACCGGAATCGAACCCGGGACCTTTCAGTCCCCAAGCCGACGCTCTATCCATTGAGCCAAACCGGTTCCGGCTTGAAATAAAAGTTTTAAAGTAAGAATGTGCTGACATGTCTTTCCTCGCTATCCTATATTAATTTTATAGGGAAACCACCATTCACTTTAAAATATATATATATATATTTTATTGATTTTTTCACAGAGAGGAAGGGAAAGGGACAGCCAGAAACATCGATGAGAGAATCATTGACCAACTGCCTCCTGCACACCCCCTCTCCGGGGATGTGCCCGCAACCAAGGTACATGCCCTTGACTGGAATTGAACCTGGGACCTTTCAGTCCTTAGACCGCCGCTCTATGCACTGAGCCAAACCGGTTTCGGCACACCATTCACTTCTTCATTACTCCCAATGGAGGACTTTATCTAGGTTCCTGGTAACCACGGGAGGCAGAGGATGAGCACTGTCTCCAGTTCTTTGCGCTTACTTAGGTCACCAGTGCAAAGGTCTTCCTTTCACAGCTGTGCCTGGCGTTTTCTAAGCTGATGAGAAAGTACACTCTCACCGTGTAGGCCTCGACTGTCCCTGGCTCCCTAAGTATTCTGTAACCTCCTTGTACCCAAACATTGGTGAGATTCTGCTAGCCTTCAAGGCATGCCGCACAGAGAGGGGATAGTAGGCAGGCGCTATACTCAAAATCTCCATCTTAGTCAGAAAACTTGGTAAACTCCAAATATGTCTTATAGAATAGTTTTTAATTATTATTCTCCAAACAAATGATGAAAGACAGGGTAATCAATTTATGCTTTTCAACTTGACTAAAACCAATGATCTAGAATTTCAATGGGGGAAGTGATGGGGGTGTAGTGGGAAGAGAGAGAATGATAGTGAGAGATGGATTGATTCAGCAAGGAGAACACAATATTAGAGACTTAGAAAAATAATAAAAACAAAAGGCATAAAAGTTCTAGGTGTGATTTTGGATTCAGCTATGATGTCCACGGCTGCCTGGGGTTATAGGGAGAGGCAGAACAAATAAGGTTAAAGAGGAAGGCAGAGACTGGGATCAAGGAGGACACTGAACATTCCCAAGGAGTGTGGACCCCACAGTGTGGGCAGTGATAAGATATCTAAGGATTGTGACTGGAGGGACAGTGATCTGGCCAGGGTCACATGACCTTGCAGGCATTGCTCCTCCCTAGTACTGCTGTGCTTCCCCCTTCTGTCTTCCCTGAGGCTCAGAACTATTTGCTTGTTAACTCCTCCCTCCTACTTAGAGAACTCCTTGTTTATTGCTAGTGACTGTGAGCCTCTGAGACTTGATTGTCTGATTATCTCTGCCGTGGGCTCATCTAGTCATTCCACTTCACCTCCAAGTCTCTCAGATAATCACAGTCCTGGCAAGAGAGAAAGCTCTACTGGGCTCTCTCTCCCTCTCTCCCTCTCAGGTTTGAGGACTGGAACTGGAGTGGTTTAGTGTTTCTTTGGATAAGCACGACCCGGGTTCATCATTAGTTGAAAGACTGTGTAACTTTTTCAGATAATGTTTTATCAGCTGAAACTAAACCACCATGATTTCCAGCTTTTATGTTATACTTTTTGAACAAATGACTTAAAATAGTTGGTAATGAATCTGCCATCAAGGAAGCTGACTCTACAGTAAATCAAAGCCAGAAAGAGCTTATACTTCTAATTCCTCAAATTTTCTTTTCACACTCTTTTTCTGAGTCACCCCCTTCTGACATGGGTGAACATCTGTTCTCCCAATTATACTCAATTTATGAGCGTGATAATGTGGTGCAGTGAGAATATTATTTCCAACTGTTCATAATTCTAACATGTGCTAATATGAAGCAAAACACACTTTTTAACACTTGATGTGTGGTTATAGCTTATGTCCTTTCTCTCAATGATGACATATATTTCACACCATGGTTTGCACGTCAGAAAACCTGTACTTTAGAATAATCATCTTGATGATGAATAATAGATCTGTCCTGACTATCCAAAGCAATGTACTCTAGCATGCATTCACAAGCATAACCTCCAACATGTACAATAGATGAAAGGTTGAGTGGGGGTACTAGGGAGGCCCAAAGCTCCACCTGCCCGACCCAGAACTTTCAGGCTACTCAGAGCACGATGGACCGTCACTAACCTGAAGCTACAAAGGTCCACTCCTTTGTAGACCTCTGCGGCTTCACACATAACAACCCAGTAGGTTGTCCAGAAACCCTTGATGTGATGAGTTACCCTTTCACCCCCTCTGGAAACCACAGCTTCCTTGGCCCTGTGGAGGCCCTTTGGGCGAATGCCTCTAGATGGCACTGTTCTCATTAGGTAGCAAAGGACCCAAGCTTTAATTACTAAGTCATTACCTCAATAGTATACCAGTAGTCTAAGCAATAAGCATACTCAAACTGAAGTTACAAATAGCAAGACATCAATTCAAAACACAAATTAAAGGTATTTCCCGGAAATTCAGGCACGCACCAGGTGGCTTCTCCTGGTTTTCCAAACCAGCGTTTACTGGGGAAGGTCTATGGCGGTGGCTCTGAAAACATGGTCCCAGGACCAGAGCATCCACATCTCCTGGGAACTTGTTAGAAATGAAAATTCTCAGGTTCCACCCCCCCCCCCCAACAACGGAAAAGACCCTCCAGGGGTAGTGTGCTGTAATCTGTTTTAATATACCACCTTCTGGGATTTTGTCCCATGCCCAAGTCTGAGAGCCCCAGATCTAAGCTTGCCCTTCAAGAATCCATTTTCAGCTTTCCAAGTTGCTATTCGTGTTCTGCTAGAATGTTTGCTTTATTGAACCTAAAACTGTCCTTGAGCATATATGAAAAAGTAACTTAAGACAATAAAAATGTATCTTTTACAATATTTCATAGTCGAGCAAGTATTTGCTGTACATTTTATTCACTTTCAATATTAGGTTGTTGAGATAGATGGTTTTAATCAAGGCAGTAAATGAAATATTCAGATTCATGTCACTACTGAACTTAGAATTACCCACTGCGAGGTAATCAATGTCTACCTTCTTTCCAAAGTATACCCTAGTCTTGAAGCAAAGTGTAAACATCTTTTAAGGTGGCTGTATTCCTAGAGGGATACAGACATACACGGGCACATACATGTTAACAGAGAGAAAAAGACACTATGAAAGAGGCACACAGAAGAGTGTTTATGCAAGCATCTGCCATGAGTTCCATTTGTCCTGTCACAGCAGGAAGAGGGTCACAGACCAGAGGGTATAACCTGCTGCCGGGAAAGGTGTAATCTAGAAATCAGCTCAGATCACTAAGCCTGACAACTCGGCCTCATTAGCACCCAGCTCTCGCTGGGGTGTATCAGGATGACCCACCAGCAGCACTCGCTGAACTGAGTACTCAAGTGCTGGCTTCCTGCTGAGGTCCTGCTACTCGCTAGCAGCCCACTTAGTTCTGCTGGGTCTTTCCGTCCTTGAAAAATAAGGGTTCAAGGTGGGATTTGATTGGAGACATTTTTAGGTCTAAGATTCCAGAATTCCTTTTTATTAATTGAAAATTATTTTTTTTTTCAACAGTGGAAACTTTCCAACATACACAAAAATACAAAGAGTGGTACAATAAACCCCCAGGTACCCAGTGACCACTTACTCCAACTATTTTCCTCTTTTTCCAGCTTTCCTGAAGTATGATCGAAAAACACCAATCATACCTATTTGGGTTATACACGTGATTATTTTTAAAGGTGCACCGTGTGATGACTTAATAAGCATATACATGGTGAAATGATTACCACACTCCAGTTGACTGATATATCCATCATTTCACATAGAGCAGCCGAGAGCCTGGCATCGAGGCTTTGATGAAAGAGGCCTCCACTTCTAAAGACACTCACTCATCTTGAGTAAACCTACAGCCAGCTGAACGTCACAGCACTAGCGAAGGGCAGATGAAGAGCGAGGCCACCCCGCCCATGAGGTCCCTACTCCACCAAGACTCTGGAAACCCAGGAGCAGACGGTCTCTCCTTTGTTTAAGCCCTAAGTCCTCAGGCGATCAGCAGGCCTATTAATCACTTATTCTAAGTGCCAGTCAGAGCTTCTTTAGAGTTAAGGACCAATGCTGAGGAGCATGGTGTATGGTTTACAGTAATTTTTCTCCACCGTTCCTCTTAGTACCATTCTGGAAATGCAGTGCATGCTCAGCCAATATATGGCTACTAGTTGGTAAATAAAGGAATCCTAGACAAATTGTTTAATCTTCCCAGATTTTTTTACAGAAAATTACCTGTAGAACAATGAAGATCACTCTAAAAAAAAATCCCAAAATTACCAAAGTGCAGCATCCTGGGCCCAATGCCACAGGCAGAGGTCTCCATGGATGTAACTCTTAATCTTAGTGGGCTCTCTCTCACTGTAAAGGAAAGTACATGATGATAGAGACATACCGCCCGAAGCTGCAAGAATCTTCTTGTCTTTGGGGGCCAGAACATGCCCAGCATGACTGATGATCCAAACTGGGAAGCGTCTGTTTACTGAAGAGTATAAAGCCTTTGCAAAGGGCACATAGAAGGTAGAAAATCCCGGGTTACCTGAGAAAAGAAGCACAGGCCGTGGATTAACCAAAGCGGTAACACTCACCTAAGACGCTGTGCAGAATGGAAAAGGATTTTTTCTCTCCAACAAACCCGGTAACATTTACACATACATGTCAGTTTTAATATCCTTTATACTTCAAGTCTGGGAATGATCACTTAAGACAAATTCTGCCCCTGCTTTGTTCTCCAACTGTTTCACATCATTTCTTCCTCCCCATGTCTCAACTTCATAAATGAAACCGTCAATCCTAACCCAAATACTCAAGTCCTAACACTGGGAGTCATTCTTAGTTTCTCCTTGTTTTTCACATCCAGTTCACCACTAAGTCCAATCAACTTGGCTTCCAAAATACATTTCAACTCTGTCCACTTCTCTCTGTTCTTATTAGCACTTTCAGTTGGGTTTCTTGGACAGCCTTCTGTCCCCTTGAAGTCCACTCTTCAGACTGCCCAGAGAGTTATCATCAACTCTCAGGTCAAACCATAGCAGTTCCCTACTTAACCACCTTTCCGTGGCTTCCCACTGCCATCCGTGGGGTCTAAATCATTAACCCTGCCTGTGAGCCCCTTCAAGATTTGACTTTGCAGTTGCCAAGTGCATGAAAACAAGTTGGTGACAAGAATTATTCACAAAGAGAACTTGAAGGAGGCTACTAAGTGTTTTCTTGTTATTTATCACAAGTATTTATATTGTAAACAGATGTATAGTTTGATCTTTTGGGGAAAAGACCATCAAGTAATACAAGTGGATTTTTCTCGTGTATGTACAGAAGTATGTGGGTTTGCTACTGAGAAAGAACAGATAAATGGTCTTTTAAAAAGAATCAATCGGACACATCTTTAGGGAGAAAAGACAGTAAAATGGGGTTTTCACCTTGGGATCATCATTCTTCTGACCTGATAGGTACTAACCCATTTCCATCAATATCTATTTCTCCAATCAATTTATCTCTTCTTTCTCCTGGTAGGTTTTCTCCCCTTGGCACTCACATGACATGGCTTTGCTGCACTGATTTCTTCACTGTCTGTACCTTTTAGTTTCCTAGATAGGTAATGCAGCAAAGCGGGTTAGGGCCCAGGCTCCTGGGCTGGAATCCTGGCTGTGCCACTTACTAAGTGTCTGACCTTTGGCAAGTTATTAAACCTCCCTGGGCCTTGGTTTCCTTGTTCATAAAATGAGGATAATAACCATACTATCTCATGTGAGAACTAAGTGAATTAATATTGGTGAAGCACTGATACACTGCTCAATACATAAAGTACTGGACAAATGTTAGCTATTCATACTTTTCATTACAGTCTAGGCATGATGGCAATGGATGATGGCCTTATCACCCATACTGCTATTTTGTTTCTGTCACAGACTAGTTCCAAATTCCTTTTGTGATGGTGTTGGTACCACCTTTGCTAAATAGGTGAAAACCTCCTTACGGGCAATAATATGCTCTTTGCTCAGCTGACTGGCCACCCTGCAGCTAGAGAGAGGAGGGTGTTATCAGGAAGGGGGCTCTTCCAGTATGGTGGATAGGGGCGACACTGTTTTACGTTTTACTATTATTTTTCAATATATTTTTATTTATTTCAGAGAGAAAGGGAGAGGGAAAGAGAGAGAGATAGAAACATCAATGATGAGAATCATCGATCAGCTACCCCTTGCAAGCCCCCTACTGGGGACTGAACCCACAGCTCAGGCATGTGACCTTGACTGGAATCAAACCAGGGAACCTTCATATAAAACATGGCCCTAGCTGATGCTCTATCTCCTGAGCCAAATCAGCTAGGGCCATGTTTTATATTTAAATCTTCAGTGAGTGTGGGATATTTTTTTAGTATAAAGTACAAAGTAGCAATCCAACTTCTTTCCAAGTGATTAGCCAAGTGTCCCAAGTCCATTTATTATATAATCCACTCTTTCTGCATTGATTTGAAATGTCTTCTGATCCAATTCTGAATTCTTACACTAGCTTGCTAATTCTGATTCCAAATAAATTCCACTTATTTTTTTCCTTTTCTCCTCTGCCAGCACCAGACTGTCTCAATTATTGCATTGTGTTTTGAAGGTACAGCAAATCCCTTCTCTTTATTTTTTTTCCTAAATTTTCTAGGCTGGTCTCCTAACCTTTGGAACAATTTTCATGAGTTTCAATTTTAAAATAGCTCTTTGGAATTCACACTGAAATTTCATCTCATTTATACATGAATTTAGAAAGATTTGATATATTTTTACTTTACTGTATATAACCTCAGAATGTGTTATGTTTCATATTCAAATGTCTTATGTTTCTCAGCAAAGTTCTATAGTTTTCTTCATGTGGCCAGAAAATATTTAACATTTTAAAATGCTATGACTTATTATACGACAGTCAGTACTTTACATATATTATTAACTCATTGTCCTCACATGAGGTACTACTATTATTTCCATTTTATATATAAACTGAAGTACAGAGAGGTTAAGTAACTTGCCCAAGTCACACAGATTATATATGATCAATAAATATTTGATACTAAAAGAACATGAGAAAATATTAATACTGAATTTAAAAAAGAACATAAATTACCTGGTCTAGGATCTTTTACATACCCTGTTTTACTTAATCTTACAGTAGCTCTACAAAGTAGTTGGCATAATCATTAGGAATAATAAATGGACAGCCGCTTGCACAATACCAGGCACATGGTAGTTGCTAAATAAATGGCAGCTACTATTACTATAATTATTATACTTTAAAAAACTTTCATTGAATAAATTAGACTTGTAATATTCTGTAAGTTTAAACTGTTGGCATGTTAAAACTGATCTACAATTAAGGAGAATACAAACATAGCAACTACATAATTTAGATGCAATAGTTACCATGACAGGACGGACATATAAAACCATTGAGCACTAAATAATGGAGCTGCTATAAAACAATATTCTTTTAGTTACCAATGATTTATTGACCACTTACTATGTGGAAGTCACTGTGTTAGGCACAAGATACAGAAGGGCCTCTTTGTAATTCATATTTTCGTAGAATATATATACTTAAGTAAGTAAATAAGATAAGAGTGTGATAACTCACTCCTATGAAAGAACTAGGATTGCCTAGCTGGTGTGGCTCAGTGGTTGAGCATCGACTTAAGAACCAAGAGGTCATGATAAATTCCCAGTCAGGGCACATGTCCAGGTTGCGTGCTCCATCCCCAGTGGGTAGCTGATCAATGATTCTCTCTCATCTTAATGTTTATATCTCTCTTTTTCTCTCCTTTCCTCTTTGAAATCAGTAAAAATATATTTAAGAAAAAGAAATAGGATCATGTGATAGAGAAGGGAATTGATTAGGGAGGCCTGAGAAAAATGACCGAGAAGGTGGCATTTAGCTAAGACCCGAAAGATGGAAATCGATCCTGTAAGGATTTGAGAGAAAAGCCTACCAGAATGGGAGAACAGGTGCAAAGGCCCTGAACAAATAAAGAGCTTGGCTCTTAAAGAAACACAGAGTCTACCATGCAGGTAACATGACGATCCAACTTAAAACAGAGGTGGACAATGTAAGGCAAACTGTTTAAACGCCATTGCATACTTCATCACTTAAACATTACGGCTTATGTTACACTTTATGAACCATGAACTAAACTTCCTGGCTAGGAAACCACAAAGCAAATTAAAAGGGTCTTGTTTATACAACCAAAATCATCAGATATATATGTCTGTCTCTCTCTATATATATATATAAAACTCCAGGTGTAGGGATTTTGAAAACATTCCAATACAGTAATACAAGTAAGACATTTTATCAAAGGGTATCAAAATGTGTTATAAACACATGTGTGAACGCACACACAGTCAAATGCTAGCCAGCTCTGAGCAATTGTCTACCACAGCTGTGGTGACCCTCGCAGTAACCTTGTAACTCCTCAACATGGCATGTACACTTAATGCCTTCCAGCTAGTCCTGCAGGGGCCTAGCTTCCATGTACCCTGTCAATGCGGTGTAGCATCTCTACGGAAGGTTGTCACATGGACACAATTCTGGGCTTGTCCTCAGAAGCCTTCTGCTCCATCTCTAACCAGTGCACTCACGACCCAAGACGTGTCACGTGGCTCTATTATCCCCACCTGAGATTTATAACGATCCAACACATCCTACAGTGGGTTCTCACATTGCCTTCCTCCACTCATTTTACGTCTTAAAGTCCAAGGATAGCACTACTTAACAGAGAATCTGCAACAAAGGTTCACTGGGAAAGATGAAACTAAATGAGAAGCTCTTCAATGTGGATTCACTCCTCATTAATGTTGCTAATTTAAAAGTGATGAATTAATTTTGCTAGCTGCAAAAGCAAAGTAATTTAAAATGAAATGTTATGCCGGTCTATTCAGAAATGGATTAAACATGATGTCTATAATGGTTTAACAAACCTTGAAATACTGTCATCTGAAATTTCCCCGAAGTATAAAGAGACTAGCCTCTCAAACCCTCCCAAAACAATTCTGAATCCCACAAACTAATGAGCAGTACCAGCTTATAGCTCCCATGAACACCAAGGAAAGGGGCCTAGGGCAGCAGTGAGAATGGAAGGGCAAACATAAAAGAACACCAAGACACTAACTCTGACCTGACAATGCCAAAGCACTATAAAATAATGAGGCTGCAAAACAAACGTTTCAGCTTCCCTTTCTCCAGATCCTAACCCTGGCTCCTCCCTATGCGGGACTCTCTTCCTCCACTGTTCTCTAACACCTCCTACACCTCGCTGAGAGCAAAGACTTTTGCAACACCGTGTTCCTAGAACCTAGTACAAATGAGCAAGTGATGAAAACCTCTGAGTGGGAAGTAGTGAGCTGTCTGTTCCACTTACCAGTTCACCTTAAAACAACCTGACCTCCTCCAAGACGGGAGCCGTCTACTTCCATCTACCAACTCTCCGGTCATTCTCACACATTCCCTGCAAGACTTGACCCTTGACAGGCATTTTCCCTTGCCAGCCCGCGACCAAGATGATTTCAAAATCTGGGTGGACTGGCCGAGCCAACACCTTTGTCCCAGAATTGAAATACTAATTCTGAAAGTCATGTCAGTTCCCTCTCTAGGCTGGTTAAACACAGCTTACTCCACCCTGAGTTTCTGGTTCAGAAAATCTGGGACGGGGGCCAAGAACCTGCATTGTTAACAAGTTTGCAGATGATGCCGCTGGTCTTGACACCAAGTTTAAGAAGCACAGGCCTAGAACTTTTCATTACCCAGAAGTGGTTAATATCCAAAACATGCTACTTGACCAGTTTCATCTTCCCTCTGAGATCTCACTCCCCATACTCATGCTATTTGGCTACTTGTTTTTGGTTGATAATTCCTTTCACCCTGCATATCTGTTATTTCCAACGCTGACCACTCTCCTCAAAGCCCCAACCCACCCTATGCTTTTCTTATTATCAACAGATAACCTCACCTCTTATTTATTTTAGAGAGAGAAGGAGATAGAAGCCTCAACTTGTTGTTGTACATATTTATGCATTCATTGCTTGATTCTTATATGTGCTGTGACGGAGATTGAACCCACAGCTTTGGCATATTGAGACAATGCTCTAATCCAGTGATGGGCAAACTGCGGCTCAAGAGCCACATGCGGCTCTTTGGCCACTTGAGTGTGGCTCTTCCACAAAAAACCATGTGCAGGCATGCACATCCAGTGCGATTGGGTTAAAGTGGTGGTCGGCAAACTCATTTGTCAACAGATACAATATCATAAGCTATAACATATTTACAGTTTCATTTTCAATCTTTAAGGATGAGATAGATATATCTATCTATATATAAAAGCCTAATACTAAGTGTCCCTCTGACCATCTGACCAGTCACTATGATGCACACTGACCACCAGGGGGCAGAAGCTCAACGCAGAAGCTGCTGTGATGTGCACTGGCTATTTACAAAGAAACGGCACCACAGACCTGGCACCCACAAAGCAACACCCAACTTCCCCCACGTGGGACACAGGCCCCACCACCACCCTGGAGCGACAGCTCACCAAATCACAGCCAATGCTGCCAAGACCCCATAGTGCAAAATGCAGCCCACAGCCCAGAAATGGTGGCTGCAGGTGCTGGGTAACAATGCCCGGCTTCCTCTCCTTAGCAACTAGCCTACTTGGAGTTTCTTCAGCCCAGGAACATGACTTGCTTTATAGCCAGGTGCAAACATTTCACTTTAACCAAATGTCTGTGAAGCGTTTTCCCGTGCCTCATCTCATTTGATCCTCACAGAAGTCCTGGAATAGGTAGATAGGAGACTCGGTAGAATCCCATTTTCTTTTCATTAGCCAGAAAATGGAGATTTAGAAAGTTTAGAAACTTGACTCAACTGAAAAGAAGAAATGGTGGAATCTGAAAATGACTTCAGGTTGTCTTACTGCACAGAATATAGTCAAACACTGCTACAGTTAAATATTTTACCCTTTGTTCTCCCTGTGTGATCTACAATAATAATCTGCTTTGTGTTGATATCTACTGCTGTGTTGCTAACAGTTACCTGAAAAAGAAGTGTTGGGGTGCTTCACATGGCTGGAAAATGTTTAGCTAAATCAGAGAGCAGTCTAATTAAGCAAGTTTATCTATACATACACACACACATATATATATATCTATATATATATATAGATATAGATATAGATATAGATATATATAGATGTAAAGCTCTTGCTGGTGCCCATCACACACATGTGTTTCCATCTGTCATTGTTGATCGTGAATTTGGTTGACACTTCTATTACAGAGAAAGGGCGAATAGCAATAATAAAATATTTATTCTAACAGATTTCCTTTCAATGTGCACGAATTCATACCCTGGGCCGAGAGAGAGAGAAAGAGAGAGGGAGGGAGGGAGGGAGGGAGGGAGGTGTGTGTGTGTATATATATATATATATATATATATATACACGTTCGTTTATTTATTTTTTAATTCACTTACAATCAAAAAGTGCCTTGAATACCTACAATCAAGTATCCATCCCTTACATTCTATTGACAATGATCCAGTAAGTCACAAATGACACAGTTGCCAAATCCCAGAAGGAGTAAACATTCTGTACTAAACTCATAATCATCTTGAAACGAGACAAAAAAGTTAGAAAACTTTGAAAAAATACTTGACAAAGTTCTAATTATTCTAAAAATTGTAAAATGTGAAAACATTCCAAAATTAGGTGTATGTATACTTACAATTGTGATAACTATATAATAAACAATATAAGTTATATAAAAACTACGTAGAAGGAAAAAAAAGCTCAGCCACCCAACTACTAAGGATGATTGTTATCAATGATTTGAGTGATTTTATTTCCTTCCATAAGCCTTTTCATATGTGCCAAATTCTCTCTGCGATCAGAAGTAGTTATAAGTATCTATATAGTCTCCCCATTCAGGTTTACAAACTTACCAGGAATAATGAAAATGAGCAGCTTGGGCCTGCTGGCACTTTGATCATTAAAGAGGTCAGTCCAGGGCCCACATTTTAGAACCTGGGTTTCAACTCCACCACATAAAGTGAATTCCTCATGCACAGGAACTTCTTCCTTGATTTCTGAGTTCATTTCTAAACAAGGGAAGAAAAACAATAGCAAGAGTCACTGAAATGTAAAACCTGAAGCCAAAGACAATATTCAAGAATAAAAACGGCAAATTCCAACATACCTAGAAGGAATGCCACAAGGACATATGGGAGATAGATATGGATTGTAGGATTGCATAAATATACGAATGAAGCAACCACCACAAGACTAGAAAGAAGCAGGGAGACAAGTCCTTGATGAAATAATACTACAGAGGAGTGTGGATCAAAATCAGATTAGCCTTTCGCACAATTCTCCTCTCCAGTCTAAACCAGCAGTCGCCAACCTTTCGGACCTCACGGACAATATCCATGGACAGCTGCCACTTTCCCTCTGCTGACATTCTCTTAGAGCTGTGCTCGGCAAACTCATTAGTCCACAGAGCCACATATCAACAGTACAACGATTGAAATTTCTTTTGAGAGCCCATTTTTTTAAACTTAAACTTCTTCTAATGCCACTTCTTCAAAATATCGCCCAGGCCGTGGTATTTTGTGGAAGAGCCACACTCAAGGGGCCAAAGAGCCGCAGTTTGCCGACCACGGTCTTAGAACTCTGAGCTTTACCAGTGAGACAGCCCTGCCTTCACCGGTGAGAAACTACGGGAGTTGTGGCTTGCGCTATGACCCTCCCAGGTAGAATTGTAAAGAGGTCAGTGACCTTGATGATCTCTTTTCCTCTATTAATCCCTCACCCCACATTCTGTACGAATATTTGCATACATTTTTCAAGCACCACGTTATTAAATTATAAAATGGGTAGGTGGAAAACAACAGGATGAGACAACACCATGAACGATTTCCTGAATCCTCCAGGCAGGCGGAAGAACGCAGGCCCAGTGATTTACATCACTCCTCCGCCTCTGCTCTGCCTTCCCCGCGCCATCAACAGGACCCTGTCTCAGGCGTTCAGCGGTCTTTCTATCCTCCTCCTCAGCTATCCTCCGTTCATTCCAAATTCTCCAGGGTCCAGGTTCCCAGCCCCTTAGGGCTCTTTCTCCTCTGACCACTTTTCACCGACTTTGCACTCTAGTTTGTCCTCATGCCTTTCTGTTCCTATAATTATGCTAACCTTTCATTGCTCAGCCGCTCCTGGAATGCTCCCCTCCTGGTGCCAATTATCAACTTATTACCTCAGCTCCAAATGCACCCTTCACTGCCTTCTCCGGAAAAATGGATCTGGGCCTTTTAGCTATTTCTCCTCTGCCAGCCGACATCATGGTAAGCTTTGTCAGAAGAGACAGGACAGAGGAAGGGCTTCTCTCTTCTGGTTTCAGTGCCCCGCCCAGCAGGCTGGTGGAGCGCTTGCTCCACCCTCTCCCCGTCTGCTTCTCAGGCTGGGAAGGCTCGCTAGCGCCCTGGTTTCCAATCGGAGACTACTGCGCCCCCACAAGACATAGGGCGATATCTGGAAATAGCTTGCACTGTCATAACGAGGGGGGAGGGGTACTCCTGGCATCTAGTGGGGAGAGGCCGGGGATGCTGCTCAACACCCTGCAATGCACAGGACAGCCCGCGCATGTCCCCCCACAAAGAATGACCTAGCCCCAAAAGTCAACGGGACCAAGGTTAAGGAAACCTGCTCTAGTGGCGCCTATGGGGTACAGCTTTCTCCAGCATCTGGCCACCTGCTACATCAGGCAGAGGCAGAGGAGGACAAGTCCAAGGAGTGGGCTTGTGCCCCAGACCAGGTGGCTGCTCCCCATAGCCTCTCCTCAGCCCACAGTCACCTGCTGGAGGCACTGCCCAGCTGGCCTTCTAAGAGCCACCTGACCTTTGTCCCCCGCAGCTGCCTGGGCCTGGCCCAGCGGCGCTCTAGGTGGCTGCAGAGGAATGCCCACGGGGGCAGCTTCCACAGCAGCGCGCCCCCAGGTTCTCTGTACCCCCAGCCAGCCTCCACTCACCTGTGCCCAAGGTTTAGGACTGTGGTCCTTCCATCACAGACAAATTACTGGTTATAATTTATCCATCTGCTTGCTAACATTCCTAAAATTTCCCTTTTCTAGTCTGATGTTTTGTTGCTTCTTCCATTTTCTTCATTTATGCCTTTATAACTTTTATTGTCATTTTAGTGGACTTAGGAATCCACTGATGTTTCAGCCTCCAAGTGTAACCAAAAGTTCAAAATGGGTTTTCTCAAATAAAACTACTTAGAAAAAAAAATTCTCTCTTAGAAAGTGGGGACTCCTCTCCATTCGAAATACAGTGACTGACTAAAAGTATCAACTCACCTTTTCTTATGGACTGATTTTTCACTTCACTAATAAATGTCACTGTAGCCCAAACTCTAAAACTGTCACAAAACACAGTATAATTATGAAGGTCCTATGAAATTTATAAAGTTAGAACCAGTATAGGTTTAGCTCTTATACATAGTATTAAACTAGAAAATTGACAGAAAAGTTACTGACCGAACTTAATACTTGCCCCTGGAGAGAATCAAAGTTATTAACCACATGCAACTCACAAACGTTTCACTTCAAGCCCAAGACATCTCAGGAGTTTGATTAGCCACAAGATTAATGAGAAATCAAGTAGAATGATATTTAAATACAGTCTATAAAAATCAGAAAACAAACTAAAAGCAACTACACCCAAAAACACCTTGATTAAATACAGAGCTGAAAACATGGAGTTAATGTATTTATTTATTAAGTATCTTATTTTACTTCATTCTTATGCTTCTGAATGCCTCACAGCCAAATAAAAAAAAGCAAATGAAAACAGAGTATGAGAATTCAAATGATTCCTTACCCCAGAATCCCAGGTAATTCAGTGCTGCAAACCAGTGTCAGATGAACAAAGGACAGGCTCTAACTACATGCTAATCAAGGCTGATGGCCCTACCTGCAGCCAGTTGTGATAAGCAGCAAGACTGAGGCTGGATAAAAACTAAGTGTGGAAACAATTTCTACAACTTACGCAAGCCTTACATGCCTAGATATTGGTTTCGTATGCTTATACCAATGGGTTTCTAATGTTATTTAGTAAAATAATATTTCCAGTTATATCTTATACAAACCTAAGCAACATATAAAACTGAAAAACAGACTTTGATCAGTATACATTTTAGAGATTCAAATGTATAATATTTATTATAAAGCCAGCCATTGAGAATAATGAGGCTGTACAAATGAACAAAAACATTTGAAAATGAAGTTATTTCAAATATAGATTTGAATAACGAAATCAAAATCATCTTTCTTCAAAAATCAACCCTACCGCCTGACTTCCCTGTTTCCATAGAGTAACATCATTCCTCCCATCATCGAACTTAAAAGTTTCTTGAACAGCTTCTGCTGTATTTTGGAGGAATACCCATAGACAAGAAAAAAAGCAGCCAGCAAAAGAATGAAAAGAAACAATTAGAAATGAGCATGAACTAAGATATATTAATTAAGTCATGTAACCCAGAGGGGATGTTTTAAGAAAGGGAGGAACTGGTAATGAAAAAATTTAAAAATATATAAATGTCTAAAAAGAGCAAGAGTACTGAGGCAACAGTAAGAACTCACATTTTTCAGAGTACTTCCTATCATATAGGCACTGTGCTAAACACACAAATATTGTTTCATTTAACCCTGACAACAGTCCTATGAGATGGGTACTATTATCTCTATCCCAACAAACCATGTGAGGAAAAATTTGATTGAAAGACACTGCCTACGGCACACACTGGTAAATTGGAATGTGGTGGAACCAGAATTTGAACCCAGGTGTCTGAATGACCTCATGTTCTTTGAGGGAGGTTAATAGAATTAGACATGGGGATCTCCTTGTAGATAGATTTTATATATATATATATATATATATATATATAGTATACATATATAATATATATAATATATATAATATATAATATATATATTTGCATTTTCCTGTGCATCATAATAATTTCAAACGTTTAAAAGGCCCCAGTAACACATTTATTTATTGCAATTTGCATAAGTAT